ACAGTATAAAGAAAAATACTGGAGCAGTGTGAAGAAGAAGAGGCGAGAGCGACCCCCGGACCGACCAAAGCCCACGCGCTGCGGCATCCCGCGCTCAGCGCCTACCTCCCGCCGCCGTCGCCACCATGCCCAAGAGAAAGGCTGAAGGGGATGCTAAAGGAGATAAAGCCAAGGTGAAGGACGAACCACAGAGAAGATCCGCGAGGTTGTCTGCTAAACCTGCTCCTCCAAAGCCAGAGCCCAAGCCTAAAAAGGCCCCTGCAAAGAAGGGAGAGAAGGTACCCAAAGGGAAAAAGGGAAAAGCTGATGCTGGCAAGGAAGGGAATAACCCTGCAGAAAATGGAGATGCCAAAACAGACCAGGCATAGAAAGCCGAAGGTGCTGGAGATGCCAAGTGAAGTGTGTGCATTTTTGAAAACTGTGTACTTCTGGTGACTGTACAGTTTGAAATATGATTTTTTATCAAGTTTTATAAAAATGCAGAATTTTGTTTTACTTTTTTTTTTTTTTAAGCTATGTTGTTAGCACACAGAACACTTCATTGTTGTTTTGGGGGAAGGGGCATATGTCACTAATAGAATGTCTCCAAAGCTGGATTGATGTGGGGAAACGCCTTTCCCTTCTAGTTTTGAGAGACTTCCTCTTGGCTCCCAGGAGGAGGGATTCCCTGACTTTGACACACATGGCCACCTTGGCACACAAAAGCCTTGCGGTATGGAAAAACAAATTCATTTTTATGTCCTCTTCTCCCTTTCCGTCTTTCAGCATAGACTTAACTCCCTTAAGCCCAGACATCTGTTGGGACCTGACCCCCAGTCATTGGTTACCAGTGTGTCAGGCAATCTGGACTTGCCAGTGATGCCACTGAGATGGCACCTGTCAAAAGAGCAGTGATTCCATTTCTAGATTGTGAATCTTCTTATCTGAAGATTATTCTGCCATTTTCATTTCACTTCCTGAAAGTCAGGGTCGGCTCCTGAAAAGTTGTTAAACAACATGCTAAATGTGAAATGTCAACCCTCACTCTAAACTTTCCCTGTTCAGAGAATCAGATGAAGACTTCATTGGGTTTTATAGCGGCTTTCTGATTTTTGGTAGTCCATCAAAGAAGGGAGTTTGAAAGTTGTTGTATACTGTTAATGATTGTCTGCCCATGTCCTGCCTGAAATACCATGATTGTTTATGGAAAGTATCTTTAATAAAGCTGGATACAGTTTGAAAAAAAAAAAAAGAAAGAAAAATACTGCCTTGAATATCTTTTAAAAAGAAATGAATTATCAAATGGTCTCCTTGTCCCCTTTGGCATATGGGTTGGAAGAACTAACCCTTCTGCACAAACCATTCTCCCACATGTACTCACCTGGACAAGTTCTCACAGGTCCGATAAACACACCGCCTTTCTCCTGCATCAGTTCCACAATAGACCTCCCATCTAACCTCCGACTTGTAGCAAGTGAATGCCTTTTTGTACCGTTCTGACAGTCCAATTCAAACAAAAAGCACTAGAACAATATATACCTTGGATTGTAGCAAAAATAAATTTTATGCACTAGTGAAAACTTGGCAAGGCCAGAGGTGATAGTGCACACCAGTAATCCCAGCACTTTCAGAGGCTGAGGCAGGCAGATTGCCTGAGCCTAGGAGTTCAAGACCAGCCTGGGCAACATGATGAAGCTTCATCTCTACAAAAATACAAAAATTAGCTGGGCATGGTGGCACATGCCCTGTAGTCCCAGCTACTCAGGAGGCTGAGGCGGGAGATGGCTTGAGCCCAGGAGGTCAAGGCTGCAGTGAGCTGAGATTGTGCCACTGTACTCCAGCCTGGGTAACAGAGTGAGATCCTGTCTCAAAACAAAACAAAACAAGACCAGGTATGGCAGCTCATGCCTGTAATCCCAGCACTTTGGGAGGCTGAGGTGGGTGGATGACTTGAAGTCAGGAGTTCGAGACCAGCCTGGTCAACATGGCGAAACCCTGTCTCTACTAAAAATAAAAAAAGTTAGCTAGGCATGGTGGCACATGCCTGTAATCTCAGCCACTAGGTAGGCTGAGGCAGGAGAATCACTTGAACCTGGGAAGTGGAGGTTGCAGTGGGCCGAGATCAAGACACTGCATTCCAGCCTGGGTGATGGAGTGAGACTCTGTCTCAAAAAAAAAAAAAACAAAAAAACTTGATGATACCTTTTGGAGGCCATCCATGAGACTACACACAGCCTGCCATGCTAAGTGGTTTCATCAATAGTTGAAAAAGCAAAACACTTCACTTCCTTTGAGCCCAAACCCCTCCTTCTGCCCTAGTTGGGGATGTGGGGATTCTGTCGCCTCAACACCATCTTCTTATAGGTCTCTCAAATCTATCCAGGACAACCAACTGGAGAGAAGCTCCTTCTTCCTATGGTGAAGTCTGCTTTCAGTGGAGAGGAGCAGGTAGTGAGTCTTCACAGTGCAGTACTTCGGTTCAGATCCAGAGCTGCTGCTTCTTGGCTCTGTCACCCTGGGTAAGTTACTTAACACCCTTGTACCTGAGCTTCCTCTTCCCAGCTATGGGGCTAATAATAGCACTTTCCTCATAGAGTTGTTGAAGGGATCAAATGAGAAAAGGATCAATCATCTAGAGTTTAGCACATTGCCTGGCAATTAGTAAGAGCGCATTTTTGTTTTTATTGTTAATCAGAAATAATAGCAATAGCCTGGTGTGATGGGGCATGCCTGTAATCCCAGCACTTTGGGAAGTCAAGGCAGGAGGATCACTTGAGCCCAGGAGTTCAAGATCAGCCTGAGCAATACAGCAAGACCTCACCTTTACCAATATATATATATATATATATATATATATATATATATATATATATATTGGCCAGGCACGTTGGCTCACGCCTGTAATCCCAGCACTTTGGGAGGCTGAAGCAGGTATATCACCTGAGGTCAGGAGTTTGAGACCAGCCTGACTGACATGGAGAAACCCCATCTCTACTAAAAATACGGAAAATTATCCAGGCATGGTGGCACATGCCTTTAATCCCAGCTACTTGGGAGGCTGAAGCTGGAGAATCGCTTGAACCTGGGAAGCGGGGGCTGTGGTGAGCCGAGATCGCATCACTACACTCCAGCCTGGGCAACAAGAGCAAAACTCCATCTCAAAAAAAAAAAAAAAAAGAAATTAGCTGGGCTTGGTGGCACTTGCCAGTAGTCCCAGCTACTTGGGAGGCTGAGGTGGGAGGATCCCTTGAGCCCAGGAAGTTGAGGCTGCAGTGATTACTGATTGCACCACTGCACTCCAGCCTGAGTGACAGAGCAAGACCCTGTCTCAAAACAAAAAAAAAAAAAAAAAAGAAGAATAGCAATAATGATAGCTACTAGGCTAGGTGTGGTGGCTCACATCTATAATTTCAGCACATTGGGAGGTCCAGGCAAATAGATCACCTGAGATTAGGAGTTTGAGACCAGCCTGGCCAACATGGTGAAACTCTGTCTCTACTAAACAAACAAGCAAACAAAAATTAGCCAGGTATGTTGGCACATGCCTATAATCCTAGCTACTTGGGAGGCTGAGGCAGGACAATCACTTGAATCCAGGAGGTGGAGGTTGCAGTGAGCTGAGGTCACGCCACTGCACTCCAGCCTGGGCAACAGAGTGAGACTCTGTCTCAAGTAATAATAATAATAATAATAATAATAATGATAGCTACTATTTAGTAAGGGCTTCCCACATGGCTAGCATCCTTTACATGTACTATCTCATTTAATCTTGTGAGATAGGGCCTCTTAATTTTCCTCATTTTAGAAATGAGGAAGTCGAGGCACAGAGAGGTGAAGTGCTTTGCCCAAGATTACACAGACTCAGGTAATCAGGTGTAGGAACCCTCATCCTTAACCACTTTGCTGCAGCATCCCAAGAGGAATGGAGCGAAGGGCCCTGCAAACACTAGGAACACTGCAGGGATTGAGGAGATTAAGGAGAAGGGGCAGAGGCGAGGTCATGCAGTAAAGGAACAGTCCAGAGGAGAAGAGACTTTCCCAAGTGGCAGACACAGCGTTGGCATGGAGTCCTCTGTGAGGACCACCATCTGTCTGTCTTGCCTGTAGTGGGATAGTGGGGTCTCTTGTGTGCGTGGCTGAGCCACCACAATCTCTAGCACCAGCTCCCCAGGACTCTGAGCTGCTACAGTGGCAGGGTCCCACAGCAGCATGGACGCCCTGGTGAGGCCTGGGTTTGGACATGCCAAGAGCCCTGCTGACAGCTCTACCTTGCCTTTTCTGAATACCTGCTGTGGCTGCAACACAGTACTGGCTCATTAAAATCAGGGTCTGGGCTGGCGCGGTGGCTCACGCCTGTAATCCCAGCACTTTGGGGGGCTGAGGTGGGCGGATCACGAGGTCAGGAGTTCAAGACTAGTCTGACCAACATAATGAAACCCCGTCTCAACTAAAAATACAAAAAATTAGCTGGGTGTGGTGGTGTGCACCTGTAATCCCAGTTACTCAGGAGGCTGAGGCAGGAGAATCGCATGAACCGGGGAGGCGGAGGTTGCAGTGAGAGGAGATTGCACCATTGCACTCCAGCCTAGGCGACAGTGCGAGACTCCGTCTCAAAAAAAAAAAAAATCAGGGTCTGCCAGAGGGGAAAGCCAGGCCATTTCATTTGCAAAGATGCAACAGTATAAGATGGCTTCACACAGTGGCTCACATCTGTAATCCCTTTGCACTTGGAAGGTGGAGGAGGGTGGATAGATTGAGCCCAGGAGTTCAAGAGCAGCCTGGGCAACATGGTGAAACTCCATCTCTACCAAAAATACAAAAGTTAGCTGAAAATGGTGGACTGCGCCTAGTCTCAGCTACTTAGGAGGCTGAGGTGGGAGGATCCCTTGAGCCTGGAAAGTCAAGTCTGCAGTGAGCCGTGATCATGCCACTGCACTCCAGCCTGGGCAATGGAGTAAGATATAGTAGCATAAAATGGGACCCGTTTTGGCACAACACCATAGTCTAATATTCTTACTCACCAGGAAAACAAACTCACAGAACCAGCAATGTCCACAGCTCTGGACCAAAGAGGGTCAGCAGGTTTGGGGCACTCCTCCTCCAGGTGCTGACTCCAGGGAACTCCTGTGATTCAAATAATAAGAGCTATAGAGGTGTCTGCCGGGCCCCAAGTTCTGTGTGTTCTATGCCTGGAAGTCAGAGAGGTTGAGTTCCTGGGAAACGCGGCCTGGCTGGTAAGCCTTCTGTGGACTATGGCAAAGACAAGGAGCTACTGCATGGACATGAGGATTACTGTGAAAGGAAGGGACAGGCCGGGCGCAGTGGCTCACGCCTGTAATCCCAGCACTTTGGGAGGCCAAGGCAGGCGGATTATGAGGTCAGAAGTTTGAGACCAGCCTGGCCAACATGGTGAAACCCTTTTTCTACTAAAGATACAAAAAATTAGCTTGGCATGGTGGTGTGTGCCTGAAATCCCAGCTACTCAGGAGACTGAGGCAGGAAAATGGCTTGAATCCAGGAGGCAGAGGTTGCAGTCAGCCGAGATCACACCATCGCACTCCAGCCTGGGTGACAGAGTGAGACTCTACCTCAAAACATAAATAAATAAATAAATAAATGAAGAAGAGGGACAGCTGAAGCCACTGGACAAGGTGGAGTTGGTGCAGCCCCTCAGAAAACTCTATTCCTCCCCTTATATACACATAGACATACTCCCATAGTATATTTTATTCATTCATAATTCATCATTTATATTACAAAACATTGCTACGGAAACTTCCTTGGCGTGCCTTCCAAATTCAACTTTGTGTTATAGCTACCAGTGTAGACTAGCAAAAATGCATCCAGTGGGCTCATTTCTCCCTTTAAATTTCCACTTGTGGATATGCCGTGAAGATATGGCCTCTCCCCTGCGAGCCCCCACCTCTGTCTCTTTTTATATTTTATTTTTTTATTTTTTAGAGACGGGGATCTCACTCTGTTGCCCAGGCTGGAGTGCAGTGGCTATTCATAGGCGCGATCCCACTACCGATCAGCACGGGAGTTTCAACCTGCTCCATTTCCGACCTAGGCCGGTTCATCCCTCCTTAGGCAACCTGGTGGTCCCCCGCTCCCGGGAGGTCACCATATTGATACCGAATTTAGTGTGGACACACGATCGGCATAGCGCTCTGCAGTCCAGAACTCCTGGGCTCAAGCAATCCTCCTACCTCAGCCTCCTGCGTAGCTGGGACTACAGGTACGCGCCACCACACCCAGCTCTATGTATGTATGTATGTATGTATGTATGTATCTATTTATTTTTTATTTATTTTGAGACAGAGTCTCACTCCGTTGCCCAGGCTGGAGTGCAGTGGCGCGATCTCGATTCACTGCAGCCTCCACCTCCCGGGTTCAAGTGATTCTCGTGCTTCAGCCTCCCGAGTAGTAGGGACTACAGGTGTGCGCCACTACGCCTGGACAATTTCTGTATTTTGAGTAGAGACCAGGTTTTCCCATGTTGGCCGGGCTGGTCTTGAACTCTTGACCGCAGGTGATCCGCCAGCCTCGGCCTCCCAAAGTGCTGGGATTACAGGCCTGAGACACCGCGCCCCGCCCCCTCTGTCCGTTTTTCACTACCTAGTCCCCCAGGCCTCCGCTGGAAGGCGCTCAGTAAAGGTTCAGAGTCCGAAGCCGCATTCCGGGGCGCCCTCCCCCGCCCCTCCCATCCCACAGAGGCAGGGGTGGGTCCGTGGGTGTGGCAATGAACCACGTGTACCCACGGGACTCTCGAAGTGGGGGAGGGGAAAAGGGAGGGGGCAGCACGCCACCCTCCTTTCTCCGCCCCAGCCCTACCCTCTCCGCTGTTCCCCCACCGGCCTCCCACGGCCCAGCCCAACCTCAGCGGGCAGCGGGAGAAGGCGGGAGCTGGGGCTTGAACTGCCCCCTCCCCCATCCGCCCCTCCTCTCCCCACCCCCTTTCCTCTTTCTTCTCCACAATCCCACTTCTCGCTCCTTTTCCTCTTTCTTTCTCCCCTCCTCCCTCCACTCCACCCGCTTCCTTTTACCCCGCCCTGCCCGTCTTCGTCCTCCCACTCGCCCTCTCCGCCTCCCTCCAGCTTCGCCGCCAGAGGCTGAGTCATCGCTGCGGCGCTGCCGGCCGTGCAGGGAGAGCGGGCGAGCAGGTAGGGAGGGTGTGAAGCAAGCGACGCCGTGCGACCCGGCACCACCGTCAGGGCCCTTTCCCGGAGAGGCCTGGGGAGGGGGCACCGAAGGGGGTCAGGGCCGCGGTGGGGACGGGCGACGGGCCCTGGAAAGGTACAGATCTTTCCCCTCAACCCCCATCCTACAGCTGCCGCTTTGCAGCATTCGGAAAGAGCCGCACAGGCAAACTAATATATAACGTTAGGGTGGCATCCGGGCCAGGCTTCGCAAACTGGCGGCCCACGGACAGATCGGGCCTGCGCCTGATCTTTATTTGGCTCACACGGTGTTGTGTTTGTCTGTTCTGAAGTTTTAACTATTCACAGTTGCCAAAACTTAAACATCACTCATTTCTTGGGGGAAAATCAGATTCCCAACTTAAAAAATTAGAATATATGGCAACGCATTACCCATAACACTAGCCTATTTCTGAGTGGGGATACCTTTTTGTAGTCAGGGCATTGCACCTTCTAGTTTGCCACAGTCTCCACCACTCCCTGCTGTTTCACCTAGGCCACTGAACTTCCTTTATGTTCCCTGCCAGGCCTCATATACAGTGATTCCTAGTGTAGTCCACCCCATTCATATTTTACATGGGGATGGGGAAGTGAGGGTAGGCCATTTCCCAAAGTCACATGTGGCCTTAAAGCTGAAGGGAAACCCTGCATTTCCTCACCCACTAATCTTTTCTGCCAAACCATTCTACCTCCTTTGGTATGCAGGCTAAGATAGGGAATTCTTTTGTAAAAAGTGGGTTCCAGAAAATGATCTGGGAATCAGAGTAGACCCCCAAATGGAAGATGATTTGGAGTGTACAGCAGCTCCTCTTTGGAGTGGATGGTAGCTTCTCACAGTTTTTCCCTTGGAGTGGCAATAGATGACAAAACTCGGGTGGATGGATGGACGGAACAGTTGGCCAATCTGGTATATTTGGTTATAATAAGTTGTTTTCGGGTCATTGGAAACCTGGCGTATGAGACGCTGTTGCATAAGGGCTGCAAAGGCAGTATGCCACTTTGCTTATTCTCTAGTTTAGTGCTTCTCAGCTCCTAATGTGTACATGATTCCTGTAAAGTATAGATTCTGGCTGGGCATGGTGGCTCACACCTGTAATTCCAGCATTTTGGGAGGCCGAGGCTGGAGGATTGCTTGAGCTCAGGAATTTGAGACCAGCATGGGCAACATGGTGAGATCCCTGTCTCTACGAAAAATTTAAAAATTAGTTGGGCATGGAGGCCTGTGCCAGCTACTTGGGAGGCTGAGGCAGGAAGATCCATTGAGCCCAGGAGGTGGGGACTATAGGGAGCTGTGTTTGTGCTACTATTAACGCAGTAAGACCCATCATACACACACATACAAAGATTAAAAAAATTTTAGCCAGGCACAGTGGCTCACACCGGTAATCCCAGCACTTTGGGAGACTGAGGTGGGTGAATCACAGGGTCAAGAGATGGAGACCATCCTGGCCAATATGGTGAAACCCTGACTTTACTAAAAATACAAAAATTAGCTGGGCATGGTGGTACGTGCCTGTAATGCCAGCTACTCTGGAGGCTGAGGCAGGAGAATCACTTGAACCTGGGAGGCAGAGGTTGCAGTGAACCAAGATCACACCACTTTACTCCAGCCTGGTGACAGAGTGAGACTGTTTCAAAGAAAAAAAAAATTGAAGTATAGATTCTGATTCAGTAGGGCTGGATGGAACCCAAGATCCTGCATTTCTGACAAACTTCCAGGTGATACCAGTATCGCAGGCCTTTGGACCCCCCGCCTCTGAGTGGCAAGGCTGTAGACTCCTTGCGCTTCTGGTCCACTCATAGATACCACTGCTGCATGACAGCCAAGAGAAGGGGCTTGAAGTCCCACAGACCTGGGAGTGGATCCCAGCCCATCCCTTAACAGTCAGCTAACCTCAGGCAGGCTGCTTATCTTTTCTGTGCCTCCATTTTTTCATCCGTTCTGTGGAAATCAAAGAATAGTTACTTCAGGAAAATAAAAAAGGCAGAATGAATGTGTGGCCCCAGCACAGTCTGTGCCTCATGGCAGGCCCTCTGTAAAGGTGGTTTCTACCACTGTGCACTCTCGCGTGGGCAGTAAGACCCAGAAGTGACATGGTTACAGAGTGGGATATGGCAGGGATAATTTCAGGATAAGAATTGCACCCCTTAATGTGGCCTTCTGGGCCATGCAGGGTGGTCACTACCCAGCCTACCCCTTAATGCCCTCCCATCTCTGTCCATGCTTCTACCACAACGGCCACCTTTGGCCATGGTACCTTCTCCCCTCAGAGGGCTTGCACATGCTGTTCCTCCTACTCCAAGCTGGCTGGCCCCTTCTTATCCTTCAGTCTCAGCTCCTATGTCACTTCCTTGTGGGTACCTTCCCTGATCCCAGAGGTCTAAGGGTTAGCATAGAAAGTGGGAAGCAAGGAACATCTCTTTGGGCTGCACGTACACGGGGAAATCACCGTTTCTACTTAGATTCTAAGGTTATTTAGAATAGCTTTGGGTAGGGGTGAACTAAACGCTGCTTCTGCTAGTCTATACAGTGCCTTTGTGCAGATTAGAAAAAGGAGTTGGGCACAGTGGCTCACGCCTGTAATCCCAACACTTTGGGAGGCCAAGGTGGGAGAAACACTGGAGGCTAGGAGTTTGAGATCAGGCTGGGCAACATAGCGAGACCTCAACTCTACATTTTTTTTTTTTTTTAATTTTAGAGACAGGGTCTTGCTATGTTGCCAGGCTTTGTGCATATAAACTGTACAACCTTATGTGGCAGTTCTACTGTTAATGCTTCCCCAAGCTACCTCGTGATTTGCTTAATCCTCCTGTGCCTGGATTAAGTCTCTTTTATAAACTTTCTTAACCCCATACACCTCATCACAAGTGGAACTAGGTATCTTGGGAATTATTTATTTAAAACCTGCCCCTACACTAGACTGTATTCCATCAAGGCAAGACCATGTCCATCTTATTCTAGGCTGTATCACTAGTGCTTAGCATGGTTTCTGCACCATTCCAGGTGTTCCACAAATGTTTTCTGAATTATTTCAGGAGCTTATTCTCTACCAGGAGAGCTGGGACTCTTACTGAAACAACTGTAGCATAGAGTGAGACAGGTACAAA